TAACCCATCCAGATAGTTGCTGTAGGTTTTCACCCGATGCCCATATGGTAGTGTCATCAGCAAACAAAACCACTTTCACTAAATCAGAAACCTTGCATATATCATTAATATATAGTATAAATAATTTAGGTCCCAAAACAGAACCCTGAGGCACTCCACTCCATTTACTTTTAGCATTGCTATAAAACACTTGCAGTTATTTTTAATGGTAAATACACTGATGTTTACATAAACAGGAAAAGTAACATTTATGTTGATCCACTCATTAGTTTAAAATACAATGGTGGCTTGTAATTGAGTTGAGTAAAATGCTAAAACTTAATTTTGACAGATTGAGGTAGATGATCAAGGGAAGATTGTGGATGCCAGGTTTAAAACCTTTGGCTGCGGCTCTGCTATCGCCTCCAGCTCTCTGGTAACTGAGTTGGTGATGGGCAAATCTGTGAGTGAACACATTACAGACACCAATTCTTTCTCTGCCTTTTGGAGTGTGTTGTGTATTATTTTTTTTGTATTGTTATTTATTCTGCTCTGCTCTTATTATTGTCTGGAAAGGTTTTTTTTGAACCCACAGTATGTGTATTTCTCACCAGGTGGATGAAGCGTTGCTGATAAAAAACTCTGACATTGCCAAAGAGCTCAGTCTTCCACCAGTTAAACTTCACTGCTCCAGTAAGTTTTCAGTGAATTCTTCACATAATTTTCTTCTTTCCCAAACTGCTCATGTATATTCAGTCTGTAATTGTTTCTCCCCCAGTGCTTGCAGAGGATGCCATCAAGGCCGCCCTGGCTGACTATCGTCTGAAGCAACAGGATGGCCAGCAGGTGGCAGTCAGGGCCAGCAGTTAAACAGGGCACTCTCACTCTGAGCTGGATACCACTGCTTGGCTCCTGGTGCCGGAAAGAGTAGCAGCAATAATCCAGCTTCACCACCTCATTTTCCTACAGTATTGATGAGGAACATCTAATTTAGTGATGATGTAAACCATCATTAATCCTCTGTAGCAGTGTAACACTAGGCTTAGTCGGGGGTTCTCTAACCCCGTGTACTGTATATTTTAGCCTGTCACATAAACGCACAATTTAAACACTGTTCGAGGTGTTGGTATAGACTTGAGTCTTATTTTTGAGGTTGTGTTATATTTACTATTTAGAGCTTGAAGTGTGTGTTTTGAATGGTGCGATGGAGATACTGAAAGCTAAGAGCTGTTTAAGTGTCCTGTCTGCACCATAAGAACTGGCCTTTGGATATGCAGTTAAGCAAAGTGGCATGAAATGATGAAAGGGTCCACTGAATTTAAATGTAATTTATAATTATTTATGCTTCCTTGAAAGTCTGCAGTAAAAGTATCCTCAATCATTTCGTTTTGGGAACAATTTATTACTTTGAAAAACTGAACAATAGATATGATTTGAATCGTACATTTTGACCTGCGATGAACAGAAAAGCACAAGTGTATTGTTTTTCCTGATAGATACGATGGTTATGGAACTGAATCACCTTTAATTCATTGCATTTATTATAAACTATTATTTAGCACTTGTGGATTCAAAGTGTTGGAGAGTATAATCAAGTCAGTTTGTGTATTTAGAAGGCAGTTTTCTCTCCTGCGATCAGCTGAAGTGTAGCAGAGTCATTATGAATATGCAGAGAGGAGGGTCGGAGACTCCTGCCAGTCAGAGGCTCCTGTGAATTATCTTTCTCTGGATAAGGCTGCTCTGAATCATCTCCCTCTTGGTGAGGCTGCTCTGGAGGACTCAGCTCTGGTCTGCTTCCCACCACAACTGCCCCAGTGTCAGAAGGCTCACACTGCTGCTTTTCCTCATGGAGACTTGGGAGCTGCTGCTCCAGGATGCTGTCATCTAGTTTAGAGCTGTCCTCAGGACTGTTGTCTGCTATTTTCTGACTGTGATCACTTCCATCTGCAGCATCAACAGATTTATTTGGCGTGCGCAAGCTCTTGGCAGCCTTCATGATGTCTGCCTGGAGCTGCTTGTGAGAATCTACTGGCTCACTTTCTTGCTCGGAAGTAGGCTTTCCTGGCACTTCATTAAAGAGTTTAGTACCTCCGGTTTTGTCCCTGTGGTCCACATACATCTTTGAAGGGAAGGAAGAAGGGTAGTAGGCAGTGACTTTTCGCCTGCGGCTCAAGGTAATTGCCCCACATATAATAAGGAAGACGAGAAGAATTAAAGTGGCTGCAACAATGATGAGGAACATGTTCTCCTCCAGAAACTTCACAACCTGACCCAGAAAGTAAGTTTCCACAGGTGTGGGCCCAACAGGTGTGGTTTGGTACTCGGAGACTTGGGAGCTGCTGGTGGGCTGTGAGGAAGTAAAGATGCCAGGTTCTTCCTCATCTGTACTTCCCTCTGCAGTACTGTAAAAAGGTAGAGGTGTAGCCAAAGTGCTGCTGAGGCAAAACACCACACACAGACCAATAGGATGAAGGGCCATTGGGAGAACTGTTTCCTCTCAGGATCTGTAAGTAACAGTAAACATCAGGAACTGAAATGTCAGCGCCACATGTGAAGGCAGTTTGTGTCTCTCGTGTATTGCCATTTACATTCAAGTCACAGAGCTAAGCATATGTTTTCTTTGAAAACCTAGAAGACTGATGACAACCAAATTTCCTGTTCTTGAAGATATTTCCAGAATCCTCAAAGACACTTCTGACAATCTGGATCAAAAAATATTCTCTCTGCTGCTGGAAAAAAAATCTTTCAAGTTGTGCCAGTGTTTCCAAATTCAAAGATGTTAGCCAGAAGTTATTTCTGTCCATGCTCAGTTTTTATGTGAAACAAACATCTTTTGATATGTGTAATTTCTATATTTGATATAGGCACAATAGGGAGGTTTTATTATTATTTTTTCCTCCAGACTGTCTGGTTTAAACAAAATGGATGATTTGCTGTGTAACTCAAATGTAGTAGTACATGAAAAGCACAAACTGGACCTAGTATAATTGTGCAGAGAAGCAAGGATGCACTTGATGAAAACATCCACGTGAACTGCATTAATCCTCCAGCATATCCCTTTGAGTGGTGAGCAATTTCTAGGTATTATAATTTAGTATGATGATGAAATATGAAAGTGACATAGAGTATAAGTGTAATTATTGTACCAAAACAATAATTTCATTGCCCATTAGGTTTTGCTAATTCATCACGAAGGTAAATGTACTGGCTTTATTCCACCTCGACCTGAACACACATGCTCTACAGTAGCAGAAATCCAGAGTACAGAGTTGAAAAATTTATACAAAAGCATACTTTTCCACTTGGCTCTTGTGGTATTGAGGTGGCAGCAGAATACATTTAACAATGTCAAATAAACAAAACTATCTGCATGGTTGGACACCACAAGGAGTATGTGGAGAAATATGCTTTATTTTATTTTTTGGGTGAAGTGACACTTCAGACACTGCTTAGTCTGATATTATTTCAGGTTCCTGCTCAGTCTATGTGTCAACTGGCAGCAGTGCCCACACTTTCATTCTCATTCTGCTGCATCTGTGTGCAAGCTGGGCCGCATGAAGCTCCACTCATCTGGAAAAGGGAGTAGGAAGATTTTTTTTTTTTCCCAGAATTACTCACTCACCCCAGACCAAATATTCAGACCACAGTGAATGTGCTATCAGACACAAATACATGTACATACGGTCGTCATATGCACACACATACTGAATTCTCATTCAACAAACTTCTAAAACGTAAAGTATGACATAGATTCTGTTTGTCTGTCCAATTTAATATGTAAAACAGACACATTGTCTTTTAATGTTGTGTTCTTTTCAATGTCGTATTCTTTCTTCTTGCTCTGAAGGCATCATGATGCGCTCACATCACCCACAAATTGTCTTGTGGTCCAACCTGATGTCAGGAAAGCCCAATGCAGCGTCTGTGCAACATATGGGAAAATTCCTTTAGAGGAAAAACAACATTTTACTCACCATCCACAACAGCAGAAGAAGCGCCTCTGTCGAAATCGTCTTTGATGGAGTATGCGTGTTACCAGTGTGGAAAAAGTGAACTGAGAGAGAGCACAGCAAAGTGGCGAACACTTTACAGACCACACCACTTCTGCAGTTTCAGATTTCAGGCTGCTTTGCCTGGATAGTGCAAAAAAAGATGTTGTCAACCATGAGGACAAATCCCTCCTTCTGCCTCTCCACTGTTCTCCTCCCCCCTCCAGTTTCCCTGAGTGTCTGAGCTCTCCAATCTGCACACAGATTGTTCTTGTTAGGTAGGAGTTTATAGTGTGCTGTGGGGGCAGGGACTTCTGCAGCATTCTTCTGTGCACCTATGTGGATGTGAAAGCCCCAGAATTAAAACAAATATGGCTACAAAAACTATAGCCAGACACCATCAACAGTTACTTTTCATCTAAAATATTTTCAAGGATTTTTACAGAATTGGAGCCTCTGATTGACATTGTAGCCTTTAACCCCTCAGCCTCTGACACTGATGACTTACAGCACTCCTCTAGGGATAAAAAAAAGGGTCAGAGAGCAGTTTGTCTGAGAGACCATCTAATGCAGGAAGAGGTTAACGTTTCCTGTGTGGAAAAAAAACAGTAACAGCCAAGAAAGGGGCAAAGAAAAGAGGCACACACAAGAGACTTTTTAAAAACAACATGTTGTTCTTTCTTCTCCAGAGGCAAGTTATTAAACTCACACAGCGTGTGTGTGTGACCACTTTTGGGAGCAAGTGTGACTGCATAAGACTGAGCCTACAAGTCATTGTGATGTGTAAATGCATTTTTGGCTAGTGCACTTTGTTTGTGATCAGTGAAGACAAGTCTAGCTTTATATGGTCATCAGAAGCAGGAGATGAGGCCTTGCATCGTCTGGGTTTACATTTGTTGCAGCTCTGTTGTTAGTCACCCGTGAGTTTTGGCTGCTAAACATGAGGAATAAAAAAACCCATTTGCGGTCTCATGAAGCATTCAGTGCTCTGTTCTTGTTTTGCAGGAAAGGAAGTGAATATAAAATCACTTTCAGAGTAGAGGAAAAGCCTTTTATAAAGCCTGTCAAAATAAGGGAACTGACTGAGTTCACAGAGCACTGTTTTATTCTGTTTACCATTTAGAGACACATAAGGACAAAAGCTCCACCTTTAACAAACAGTAGAAAAACCAGAAAGATTAGCGTTGTCATGTCTGCATTTTTGAGCTTTTACTTTTTTTTTATATATATATTTTCAGCATAAACTTATCAGAATGATTCAGAATATATTTGTTTAAATCTCAAAGTAAACTGCCCATTTGTGGGAAGCTGAAACAAAACAAACAAAAATCTTTGATAACACTTTATTTTATTTAAAGTCTAATAATGTTCTATTAATTTCCTAGGAAGATTCCTGGTAAGAAATGTGTAATTTGGGAGAAATTATAGGTAAAATACACCATGTGATTGTTAAACAATCAATCAATTCTAATTAAATGCCAAACAAGTGAAACCTAAGCTGCTTTTGAGTAAATGTTTTCTTTGGTTTAAATGGAGCAGGTCATTCAAGGACTGCTTTTAAAATCAACACAACTAATTAAAGGTCTCTGAATATTGTGTTTGTGGCATCGATCTTTCTAAGAAAGCTGCAAGAAATTATGAAGCAATAACAAACCTGTAAAAAAAAAAAGCATAATGTTAAATAATACATTTGTTAAAGAAATTACCCAGATATGGAAACAAAGCATCTCTACACCCACATACACTAACTAGTGACAAAGTTTATTATCAATCAAAATACTCCATTTATACAATTAGCTTCCAGAATAGCATTTATAAGCTGAACAGTGTCTGCAAAGAACAGTAATCCCTTGACAAAACAAGCCTTCCTGTCTCCCGTTGCTAAGTGAAACACCATCAGGGCTCAGCTCAGGATGTTAAAAAAAATAATCTTTGATCAGTGTCCTCATCCTGACTTACATTTCCAGTGGTAAGAAGGAGTACAGTTATGCAAAATGTCTTTATTTTTGCTTAAAATATACATTTGATGTCCTGACCTCAACAAATGCCAAATACCATTATGTTTGTGTGGTTTCTGTGTCTCTTCCTGCACAGAAATAGCTTGTGCACCGAAGCTAACCTATCAATATCAAAGAGGAAGCATTAGTTTATTCAAACAACTGTTTCCACATCACTGACATCAGACATATCAGTCCAGTTTGAGGTCTGAAAACTTGTCAGTATTAATAAATCCATCTAAACAATACGGTCACTTTCTGGAAGAAAGCTGCTGAGCGTGAGGTTATCTCCTCCTTCCTCATCACTGTCTTCACCAGTGAGGATCACCCGGACTCCGTTAGTAACTGGATTGCGTTGCCTTGCATAAGAGTAATTCCTCTCGGGCAGCAGGGCAGAGATGCACATCATCTCAGTGGCCTGCTGAGGTTTCTTGAGCTTATACTTCCTTGATGACAGCTTGGCACAGAGGACAATGGTAGAAACCATGAAAATGGTGGCTAACCCTGCAAGCGAAGCGATGACAATGAGGCAGTGCTTCACCACGCCCCTGGTGGAGCAGAGCTGGCCCTCAGTACTGGTTGGGCTCCTTGAGACTTCACAAGGTGCTGCTGTAGTTGTAGTTCCTGTGGTTGATTTGGCTGTTGGAACTGGTGATGTTTTGGGACCACGAGGGTTCAAGATTCCTGGAGGACTGGCGGAGATGGAGGTGGCGGAGCTGGAAGAATCAGTTGAGACTGAGATAGCGGACGACTCAGTGTCAGAATTCGACCCTTTTGTGTTAGGAAACTGTGATGTGGAGATGTGGCTTCTTGTGCCAGAAATAGGGTGAAATATAGATGAAAGCTCAGTGCTGGTGGTGGATGTCTCAGTTATTATGACAGGTAAAGAAGTGGGGTCAGTCGTAGGTGCTGCCTCAGAGGTAGGGTTTGTTGTCACCGTGGTCGTGTTGAGGTTCTGTATGAAGTGCGGAACCTGAGTCAAATTATTAGAAGAGGTAGAAGATAACGCAGATGTAACTTCAGGTTCAGTGATGGATGTGGGTTTTGGTGAAGACACAGTTGCTGAAGATGCTGCAAAAATTGCTGCAGGAGCAGTGATGTTAGTAGAAGTGGTGGGTGATTGTTGGTCCCCTGTAGGTCTTGCTGTTTCTGACACCTCTGTATTGTGGGAAGGTTGCGTTTCACTTGCAGTTGTGATGGCATGAAGCAGTCGTGGACCTGCGCTGCTCACAGTTGCTGCTACAGTGTTCACAGCACCCAGACCAGCTGTGCTGCTGTTTGAGCTGTTACTTTTGCTTCTCACTGTTGTCTCTTGAGTCTCCACTGTGGGTGACACAGGGGTTTCTGCTGTTGCAGCAACACTAACCTCTGCAGGTTTGTGGGTTGGATCCCAGCTTGCAGGCTGAGTCGCTGTTTCACTGTGTAATAAGTGTGAACTGGTTAGCTCGTGGGTTGTCCTGTTTGGTTCAGTGATTGTGTTGCTACTATGTGTTTCTGGGATGGAAGCATTCTTTGTCTCCACAGAAAACAAAAGAGGTACTCCCCATAGCAAAGTCAGACACGTCTTCATGTTGCAGAGCATCATAATTGAATAAAAGATCTGAAATAACAGAAAAATTATTCAAGTTTACACAGTCCAATGCAAGAGGTAGGTTAAGAAAATTTTAGTTGTAGATATAATAATAAAAAGACACAAAAGGAAAAGATTCTGTCATGTGTCTGCTGGTGACATCTTATGATGAAACAGTCATGCGTCTTTCACCACACCCATTGCTACATTTTCACAGAAAAATACAGAACTACTGCATTTGTATTTCCAGGAAATCTTAAGCTTTTTTAAAAGCCATCCATACCCGAAGAAACCAATCTAAAATAAATTTCAACTGAAGCAAAAGATTGATTTGATTTGATTTGATTTATTCTTTCAAACATGTAACAACAGTCAATATGTAACCACACATAATTCCAGACATATCCACAAATATATTTTCAATTTGCTTATACCTAGTACATGCTTGAACCAAATCAGATAAACCTTTGAAATGTTCTCAAAGTGCAACAAGGATTTAAAGTCGAAGGTAAAAACAAACTTGATAATACTGTTTCCTTCAGTAAAAGCTGGCTATCATAATGGAACATAATGTTTTTTCAAGAAGTAACTTTGTCCACTACCATTACAAAAGGAAACAGTAGTTCCCCAAAGCAGAAACATTCATCTAGGACAAAGACACTAAACACCTGTCTGTGTCTTACCTTGCTGCTGGAGAAGCAGAGGGAGGAATGTGAAGATAAAAACTGATCAAAGATGAATTCATGTCAATTCAACCTCTGTAGACAAACATCCTCAGAGTACTGACATACTGACTGTTGCTCTGCTTGAAAGAAGAAACAGGAAATGTTCACACTTAAAAAAAACAGCACCACATATACCATTTTCACATCGATCAGGTACTGACAAACACTTCCTTAGCAACAACAGTTTTAGTTTGCATCAACAAGGAAGTAAAATTTATCAGAAGCTTATTTTCGTTTCTGTAGAAAAAACAAAGCTCCACACCGACTCAGCTACCATATTCTTATTGAGATTTTATATCTATTTATTTGCAGATAAAGTCTCACCTCTTTGAAGGAGAACTTCAGGAGAACTCAGATGCTCCTGTGTGCAGCATGCTTGCACTGCACGTCCAGATGCTCTTAGTGCTATGTTATGTAAAGTAACAGGAACTACTCAGTTCTATAAACTGCTCAGATGATTGTTGTGTATCAACTCTTCAGATCACAATATAAGATGATAGGCCAGCTACATGAGGACATGGTCAAGTGGAATACCTAAAGGAATAAAGCTGAGAAATGGTAGACATTTACAATAGAAACTTAATCAGTTTGAAATGTGGCAGTTCAACGCCTAATTTGGTAGCCTAGCTTTAAAGTAGAGGCATGCAATTGTACTTAAAGCTTGCAGATCAGTACCCAGTGAGGAAACACAGGGTACTTATTTCTACTGAAATCATAGTTCACTTCCTGTTCAGATGAGTAATACCGAGCTGTGGTAATAAAAACATGACATGAGGATACACTTTCAGTGTTTAACATTTCCATACAACATATTCAAAACATGACTTCCACACACACACAGATGTTGGTGCTCTGTTCTACATATACTTGCTGGTTCAAGATGTTTAACTGAAGCTTCTCTTTTTCAGGCACATGTGATGTGACTTGGAGAGACTGCAGTGTATTGTACTGTGATCATAGCTACAGCTAGCTCCCAGATATCGTGCACTCATTAGCTCAGAGGGTACAGATGTCCATGCTTTAAGTAGGTTAAAAGATAAGAAGAAAGGGAGGTTTTCATGTGTAAAATCTTTATTATGTGCACAGAACTGTTTGTCAGGGGTTCCGTGAAACAAAAGCTGGACGAGTGGTCCCTTCCTACACCAAATATGCACTGGAGAGGGCGACTTTAATTTGACCCTTAACAGTGACAAAGAGGCACCACTACATCTGCACAACATTTACACCAGAGATGCAACCCTCCCTCCCCCCAATTAAAACCCAATGTTTAATTTCAAGCTCAGAAGAATGCGAACAAAAACATATTAGAAGGATCTTCCACATTCATGAACCTGAAGGTTATTGATGAGTAAAACTGCTGGGAGGAAAAAAGTTCAACAGCAATTTAAAAGAAAAAAAAAATCCAGCTTGGCTAATTCATTCTACCAGTTGTGACTGGAATGTACACCAACGGAGAAAATAAATGCAAAAGCAGTGCATGAAACCGCACACAATTCATATTTGGCAACACAAAACAGAACAATGGAAATACTGATGCTACATACAGTTTTTGAGTAGTAAGTACAAACTTCACATAAGAATGTTTTACCACAATTTGAAAACAGAAACGTTAAGACTTCATTCAACAAAAATGTCTTTTCTTCTAACGTGTACATCAGTTGCGAGAGTTCCTCCTCTTTTCTGTGTGGGTCAGGGCGAAGTGTCAATCTGAGCTTGGTGAGTGAAAATAAAAGTTCATGTTGGAATGTACGCTTGGTCTCATCGCAGGGATAACGCCAAGCCGAATGAAGCCGAATCTTGAGATTCTGGCCGTGGCTGACTCTGTCCTTTTGATTCTCTCAGCAATGAACAGTCCTGTGAGGGGGCCGGTGTCTTACATGGCAACCTTGGCAACTTGCTCTTCCAATCTGGCAATTCGACGGTCTTGAAGGATGACACGGTCCCTGAGTGACTTGAACTCTCGGAGTACCTCTTCCAGTTTATCCTCCATTTTCTGGTCAGAGGACAGAAACAAAGTTAGCTAGGCAACATCCTTTCCACTTTCTGTTTGACACTTAAGAGGCTGTTAAAGATTTACAGAAACTGTTGACAGAAGATTTTGTGAGTGGTAACTACGTACCTCATCTAAAACAAACATTACTGTTAATCCCGACAAAATGAGCAGGGGTTGTAGATGCAAAAAAGTCCTATAGCTGGTAACATTTTCCACTGTTGTTGCAATTAATTGTGAGCCAAATACCAAAATATGTGCTGATCCATAACTTTCGTTCCAACCATAATAACTACTGTGAATGGGAGAGCCCAGCTGTCAGTAAAAAATGTTATTGCACAATTGAAAAGTGGTACAGTTTGACTAAGAAGAAACAGCAGTCATAATATGTTTTTAAGAAGCTAGTTATAATAACAAAAGCACTAATACACCACAATACAAGCACCAGTTACAGGACATCATTCTTTCTTCACTCACTACTGAGGGCTGTGAAGAGGCGTGCTTCTGGACAGTCGAGATGTTCTCTGCCTTTGTTGCCTTTGTGGCCGGTTTGGTCTCCAGGACGTTCGTCTTGACCACTTTCAGATCGCGGTTCTTCGTGGAGATGTAGCCGTCTTTGAGCGAGATCAGGATGGGACTTCCGTTTTTCCCAGCAAACCACTCCTCTGCCTCCAGGGTGGGATCCGGGCCGGCTGTGTCCGGGTACAGGTCGTCCTGGAACAGATCAGACTGGGCAGGTGGAGAGAGGAGGAAGCATACAAATAAAGGAGGACAGTGTAAAATGCAGAAAGAGCTGGATGAAGGAACCGAATAAAACAACAATGAAAGAACAGCGTATTTATTGCTGGACATAAACACACTTACTTTACGTGGAACTGTCATGATTATTGGTTCACATTTTCTCTCATGTAATTTGTAAAACCTACAAAACAACAGTAAGAGTAGTTACATTCATTTAACTTCATTTAGAATGTAAATTAATACAAATCAGCAATTTAGTTTATTATCTAAATGTAAATATCAGCAGCTTAATACTATTATTAGACCTAAGGAATTATTTAAATGATCTTTAAAAAAAATAGTAAAAATCATATTCACAAAAGCTGTATTTAACCAGTTCTTTTTTAAATTTTCTTTCCATTCTATTATAGTAAAAGGAACTTGTTTACAGTGATTCCTATGGCTGAAACTATTTGCTCATTAATCATTGAGACTATTGATAAAAAATTAATCAGTTCTGAAAATGAACTAAATGTTTTTCATTTTTTTTGAAGCACGAATGTTTAGAAAATGTGATTTTTGGTTGGCTTTCATAACTGCCATAATATCCTGGGGCTTTAAAATTTTGGTTGGACAAAACAAGACAATTAAATACTGTATGTAACTTGGGTTTTGGCAGGCTATGATGGGAAAATTGCTTTTAATCACTACTGTTTGACATTTTATACAGTAGACCAAGTGATTTCTGAGAAAATAATTGATGGATTAATCAACAAACAACATAATCATTAGTTGCAGCCATAGTGCTATTCCCTTGCAGCACTGCTTGGCTGCGTGGGTACATGAAATGTAGGTATAAATCAAACTGATCTGCTCTTTTTAAAAACAATGTGGGTATTTTTAAGACCAACTGGGTTAAACTGTATATTGCATCGACAGGAGCAGACACTAACTGAACAAGGGTGGTTGTAGTATTCAGTCTTCGGACAGTGATGCTGGTACCTTGCAATTTCACATTTGTTGACATCCAGTCCTCTCTTGGGCATGTATCCCATGCCTCTCTGGGGCTCCTTGGTAGAAAAGGTGTTGAGGTAGTGAACAAACGGTGCCTCATCTGTGATCTCAAAGTACCGAATGCTGCTGTCACCCTGAGAACACAGTCACAGGTACAGTAAAGGTGAGCTTGTTGATCTAATAATTAGACTTGTCTTGTCTTCATTACAAGGCTTCTCACCTTTCCACACAGGTAGACTATATTGGTGTCAGGGTCATAGAAGGGCAGCAGAACTCCATTACTGGTGTCCATCTCTTGAACACATATTGGCTCATCCATGTTGTCCTGGTAACAAAATTCAGCATTTGAAGTAGAAGTCCAGTTTGGAGGAACCTTGAGTTAAAATCCAGTTATTGCTGGTTTTTGTATAAGCTGCCACTGTGTTCAATGTATGCCAAACTCTCACATACAGACAATCATGAACAGGAGTAATTTACATTCTGACAATATTTTAAAATGACTTCTCACTGGTTATTTGTTGTATTCACCACCCCCTGCTGGAACTGAGGCGTTACATACACAAATAAATGATGAAAAAAGCAAGAAGTGAAAAGAGCAACTGAGAACAATGTTTAGACATGTATTATGGCCAGGAAGCTGTGCAAAGAAAGGTCTAAAAAACATTCAACACCACTTGAAAAGCTCCAAGTGGTGACCAGAAATGTGCTTGCAATGCAACTGAGTGTGAAGGATTAAATGAAAGTCGCTACAGTGCCATACACTTTTCCACAGGCCTAGCTGGCGCTCGCTCATGCGGCTGAATCCAGTGGTGAAAATGTTTCCATCTGCCAAAAAGATTGCTCTCATTGGTCGAACTCCCTCATGGGCTTTGTCCTTCTCCTGAAAATAGACCAAAAAAAAAAAAACAACCCTGTCAGATGTGGCAGTTACATTTGTAGGCCCTGAATCAACAGCAGGTGGGTGATTCCGGGAAGCATTATTCCATGTCAAGCATCCTGTCCCCAGATTCCATCTGTGTTTTCACTTACCGCAACAATTTTTTTCTTACGGGGGTCGATGACTCGGACCTTTTTGTCCTTACAGGCGGTGCAGAGTAGGCTGCCATTGCGGCTCCAGCTGACACTAAAGATAACATCAGGGTGCATGTCCTCCAGGTTGATCATGGCCTCTCCCGTGCCCACATTCCAGATGATGATCTGGTTGTCACATCCTAAAATGAACACACATCAGAGCTTGATCACATGTACCTCTGTGTCCAAGTCTATTTTTAGTACTTAATGTCACACAAAGCAATGCAACACAAAGCAACCCCAAGATAGATAAGAACTGGTCAGACTTGAAGTTCAGAGTCAGGCAGAGTCTATCGTTTTAATTTGAGCAACAAAGGCGTCAGTCAAAGGTTACCTGCACTGAGGAGGACGTTGCGAGCGGTGGGATGCCAAGACACAATGCCGACCCTCTTAGAGTGACCTTCTAACACGACTACAGGCTCTGAAAGGGCCGTCTCCAGCCCATGCTCAGGGATCTGCCAAACCTGAAAATTCAGGAAAAGAAAAATATTTTAGACACAGAAAATTAAATAAGAAGAAAAAAAATCACTGAACTATAATATTTTTATAGTGCTAATACTAAAGAGACTACATAAGGACAGTAGATTCAAGGTGTATGTAAATGCCAATGATATCAAAACTGTGACAACATTACTCTATCGTACTATAAAAGTCATTGTTACACATGCACAGAAAACCTATAGCCAAAAATGTATAACATATGGGGTTTAGCTTATCATATTACAAACCCTCAAAACTCTGGGAATTAATGACATTTTAAAACTCTGAAACTGAGACAATTAAAAAAACTAAAGAAAAAAAGCATCACTTTTTATTTCCCTTAATACAGCACATCATGTCCAGAAGTTGTAGGATTAAGTGCAACAAGTATTTCTAAGCTCATGTGATCCTTTAGAGATGAACTTTATCCTTACCATCACTGTGCAGTCTTCTGAGCCACTCGCAATAACAAGGTCATTATGGGGACACCAGTCGATGTCTAACACCGGGCCTGTGTGACCACATACTGTAGGGTAGACCTTGTCTATACGGCCAGTCTAGGAGACAGAGGACAACTTTGTTACAAGGGGGTTAAAGAGTATCACCTGAAGTAGAGCAACTTTATTTAGCGATATATGAAAATGACTGACGAGCAGGGCCAACATACTGTAATTATCCTGTGCTTCATACAGGTTATATTCATCCTGGATGGCTACGACACAGTTCTTCATTCTACTATGATCATCATGTTGCAACTTTATTTAACAACTGGGACCTTATCCATTCCCCATCATGAATAGACATCTGTGACTTCCCAGCTGACATTAGGCAATGTCAGCTGGGACTGGGTCCAGCCCCCCGCCCCATGCAAACCTGAACCACAGAGCTCTTGTGAAACAAGCCTGCAAAGATCATTTTCATCTACTGATGTAAACACAAGGAAATCAAAGAACATCTCACCTTTTGTAGAGGAAGTACAAGAAAGGCTCCTCCTCCACTGGCGTCTATGATGATGGCAACAAACTTGGGGTTGACAGCACAGAAGGAGCTGTCCCATGTGACTCTGGAGACACGGATGTCATCGTAGCACTGGTCGTTCCTCACCGCCTGACCAAAGACATGACGGAACTTGCTCTGTCGAACTACTCGCCGCAACATATCTGCAGAGACAAATAAAAGTCAGAGCCCACAAATGTTCTCATTAATTAAAAAAAAAGGTATAAAATGTATAAGCACAGAAAGTGAGCATTTTTCCACAGAAACTGATGTTGTAAAATTGGAAAATGAGCACTATTCTGTCATCACTGAAGGGTAAATTTGGCTTGCTGCCAGCACAGACTGTCTGATCCGAGATTATTAGCTGTGACTGTGCATGCAAAGAAGAATAAATCGACTCTACCTAGTCGCAAACATGACATTTTGTCTTCAGCTGTGTTTCCCTCCTCATCTTAAGTGTGATTTTCCCGACTTCTGTGCTATTAAGGAAAGAAGGTAAAGTTCCCTAAAGGTTTAGAAACTCAGGCTGACTGAGTTTTAGGGTATTTGGGCATTCTACCCTGTGTTTTGCTTTTTGCCTCTCTGATCAAGAAGCTCCGAAGCTCTGTAGATTCTCAACTATGAACAAAGGTATGTTAGATGCATGTGTGGTATATTAGGTAGAAAGATGTATTCGAGTTATTGTTTATTTCAGTGTGTCACAGTGTAAGGATGTCTGGTGGAGAGCCATTTACTATACCTGCAATGTTAGTGATCGTTAATATTTAGGCTACGTGACACAGGACAAAATGGTTCCAAAGTAATGCAGTAATGTAATACCAAGCTTAGACAACACATTTTAAGGTCTGCTGATTAGAGAACTGGTGATGTTATACAGCATTTTCTAACTGCGACCGCACCACAGATGGCCTGTTACTGCTCTGAGATTCTGAAAACACTCTCAATTGTTGATCCATATTTAATTATCTGTACACACTCAAGCATGTTTCTGAACTCTCATTTGTGCTTCAATAGAAGTTGTACATCAAGTGTAGACAAATATTCTCAGAGCAGTTTCAGCTACTGGCGTCTTGAAAAACCACATGAAACAGAAACACAATGGGAATCCTCTAAAATCTTGACTTGTCTTAGCATTGTCTACTGTAATTCACTCTGCCCTTGATACCTGAGGGACGTTTGTCAGCACTTTAATGACTTGCTTTGCTGTGTAATTAGCTGGAAAATATAGCATCTCAGGGCGGTAATTAAGTTGCCAGACTGAAGCAACGTATTGAGGCAGAATCTTTACCTCCAATCACCCACAGGTCTGTCGCCACACCAAACCACCTGCTTCTTCACACTGAGTCATCGATTTCGAAAAATGAAAAAGCTGAATCGCGGCCTTTTGAATCTAATATAGAAACATTCTAAAATCTTACTTAGCAACACCAGAGCAGTTTTTTTTTTACAGAACAAATCTTGCAAAGTTTATTTTGATCATACTCATGTAAATGTACACATTTTTGCATATGCTTAGTTATTCTGCATTTTGATTGATTTAAAATTCTCACACAGTGATTTCACATAATACTCATACAGCTCTGCCAAACTTCTAATCAGGCAGGCAAATGGAAAACACCTGTGTTCATTAAAAAAAGTGCACAAAGGAACAGTGGATATGTAGGCTGCACAGTCTAATGAGTACATATCAAAATGGTGTTTTCATTCTCCACAAAAATATGAAGCAAAAAATAATGAACAGAACACCCTAAATCTAAACTGCCCACAAAGACATAACATCCATATTTTCATTTGCAGACACAAAGCAGTGACAATTTTAGTTTCATTTTATTGACAGTATCCTCCCCACACAACAACAAATATACACAGCATATCAGTATTGTACATGTAGCCTTAAAACACTTTAACCTGAGAGTATTATTATTAGAGACCTAAACAAGAGACAGTTTTAAGATCGATTACTGGACATGAGTGAATCCTTACAAATCGACTGCTGGCCTTGGAAAGGCCTTAATTCATTGAGCAATGTCCCACAGAGCTGTAAACATGCATGCACTTGCAGGCTTGCACAATGCCTTGAAAGCACGGGACTACAGAACAGTGTGTTCTCACAGGAAATAGTAGTGCTCCATTTCAACCACAGGCTTTAGTTTATACTCTAACGTTACATCACAACATGCTGCTCTCTGTCCTCTACCGTGTCACCACCCAACACACAGCAGGACATTCCTTAGCATCATGGTGGTGGCCTGAGTGCTAGGCCTTATTACACATTAATACTAAGATATTATAGCCCAGGACAGTAAAATGACAGAATCTGATGACTGAAATTAATAAAACGTAGTCAGCAGTCCTGCAGAGGTCTGACCCGTCTTATTTCACTGTCTGGACAATGCGACTAAATGGGTTTGCACAACACTACCAGAGGTCCAATTGAGCTCATCTTAAGATTAATTATATCAGCATGTTACATTCTGAATGTACAAGCCGACTGATTTTAATGAATGGGTGTGCAAACGCCTGCTACCGTTAAACAATGGTCGCAGGCTAACGTTAGCTGATGTTACCACAGAGCTTGGTGTGTCAACTCCCTCCATCCCCAAACCAAGTAGCTACAAACTAAAATATTAAAATCATGATGAGACTCAGCACTGCTCTTTTTCAACCATCTTGTAAGCAATCCCAACCCAAGTTGTCAAAGACAGGGGAAGCCTAAGATAACTTAGCTCCGCGTGCTAACATAACGGTACCGATAAGGGGGTGGATCAGCATGCAGATATCTATTATATTGGGCACGCCCCAGATCTGACTATCACTTGGAAACACTACAAAGACTGAGGTTTTACGAGTGTTTTAGATAAAAAGAAACAATACACGATGTTCAGAATGACAAATAACGTTGAAAGAAGCAACATTAATTTCAGAATATGTTTCGCCGCACTGCCCCAGCAGTTCGCAGTTGTGCCGGGGCTCGTCCCGTCTCAACATCACACCGCAAATAAGGAGACAACCCTATTGTAGTGTTTTTAACGTCTTCTTTAAAATATCACATACGTAGCCATAAGACGTATGTATTACCTCCATACAGAGTTGTTCACTCTGACTAAATGTTTCATTTTGTTCCACTAGCCTGCCAGTGTGCTTTGCATCCCGGCTGCTAATGGGCTAGCAGCCCGGCCGGTTTAGCTAAAGCTAAGCTAGCATAGCATTCTAGCCTAGCTGCTAACCGTTAGTTACAGTGGACCGCCGCCAGCTGACGCAAGTGCAGATATTTCCACCCAAGGTTTTGGCTGCTCCCATTCTCAAACCCATCCAGAGAGCTAAATGGATGCTGCACAGTCCCGAGCTACACATCACATGCATAATGTAGAGATCTCTGTCTTTCTTACCTCCTAAATCTATGCAAGACTTTCGTAACCACGGGGGTAATCAATCACAACACATGAATCTGGTAGTTTAGGCGCGCCCTTATCCTGCAGGTCGTTGCTCTACTATCCCTTGTCTCCTCAAAAAAAAAAAAGCCCAGGCGTTTTGCTTTTATTCCCCTCCTGACTTATATATTATGTGGCCCGGCGGCAGTGTTTTCAATCTAGTGGTATTTAGAAGATGCCAGCTGCCAAGTAGAGCATCTCCCATCCGCTTCTCACCTGCAGAAGACTAGCAATCGCTTGTTCTCATCGTTATTACATTCAGTGGGATACGTTGACGACCGGCTACGGCACATGCGCAAACGAAAAGTCACATTTCATTTCTAAGGCTGTGAATTGCGATGGGGCCGCAGGAAAACTGGGTTTCTCCCTGTGCCATCCTGGTGTTTTTTGAAGTAGCGTAGACTTACTGAATCAGTTAATTTTGTTCTGCTGTGAAAAACGTGGATTTTACAGCCCACCGTATCTTTTGTAGTGCTGCTACCCCATCCCATCCCATCCCATCCCACCAAGCCTGTCTTGTCCAAACACAACAGCCCAAAGAATCCCCCCACATTGTCATGCACCAACACAGCAAAACTATTCAAGACTATCAACTATTACCTTAGTAATTATATTGTCACACCAGCTAATGCTAGTTCTTTAGAGCATCTTAAAAACTACAGACTTGAATAAAAGTTGACAATCATAATGAATGTATGCAGAATCTGATTGTAACAATTTTTAACTGAGCATAAAAGTTTATTTTTGACCTTAGCAATACTAGTATGACAAGGCAGTCCCAACTCATAGTCCACATATGAGCTTTTTCCAGAACTGTGAACAATATCAGTCAAGACTTAACTTGCATCTTTCTGTCTACAACTTGCATACATAACTTAATCAGTGCTGAAATCTTGCACTTCATACAGGTTTGTGTGATGAAACTTTTTAACAAGTTCATGGGAAACACCTGCGGTCTTGGTCGCCTTTGTCCTGATTTGTCCTTACTGATAGACTGAGTGTCTATATATGTCTGTAGAATGAGTGGTTTTGTAAGCTGTACTGACAATGGTTTGATGACTGAAATGTTTTTTTTACTATCACTTTTAATGCATGTAATAAACTTCCTTTTTTGGCATCTGAAGAGTCTCTTTGTTCTTTGGTCAGTGCGTGGCCACTTTTTGTCATATATGGAACTTTTTTTATGTTTAAGTTTTAACAAGCTGAATAAGCAACATGTTCTCATCTCAGGGCATCAAATACTGATGCATTGTGAAGCACCTTTGGTGTTTCATGCTGATGCTAAAGCCCTCAACATGCTATTGATGAATGGATCAAAAGAGCTACATAGAGGGTTTTTTGTGAGTTGTTCTGCATATAGATATAAAATGTCAACAGTTCTGAGTTCATTCAGAAGGACTTTCCTTAGAGGCATAAATATGTCTAATAATGCTGTTGAATGAAATTGTGATAATTTAAATTGTAAATAGGTATGACATATAAATAAGAGGATTTATTTGATTATTTCTGTACCTGCTTGTTTTATAAGACCAAGATGTTTTGGTGCCTATTCCAGTATGAAACAGTGGGAGGCAGGAAGATGCTGCATATTGTTTCCTGTTACATGGATTTTTAAAGTAGATAAACACATTAATACTCAATACTTAACATTTAGTTGTGGATTAGACTTGCCAGTTCACCCTGAGTAGTGTGTATGGGTTTGAGGTTGACACATCTTAAGGAAAATTTAAAATAGACACAGTCCAGTAGGCAGTGGTCCAAGGCTGAGATTAAAAAGTGAAGGGTCTTTAGTAAAATAACTTTTTGGCCTGATTGACTAAATGACCAGGATATGACACTGATTTCCTAGTATGTAGGTCTAAATGCTACAAATGAAAGGTCAACCATGTAAAAAGTTGTTTGATAATCCCCTGTTTTGGTCTGTACTGAGACAACCAAACCAGGAAAAACAAGACATTTGATGATCTTTTCAATAGAGAATGAATACGTTGGCTGCTTTTATTAAAATACAGTTTATAGTATAATTATTGATCACAACAAAACAAATGGTTGCCTAATAACACTTCCAGGAGACAGAGCAACATTTATGCAGTTGTTTCTTTTTACTTGGTGAATGTAATTCTATTATTGACTCTCCTCGTAAAGGAAATGTCTTCAGCAGCTAAATCCTTCAATGTGTTCAGCAGCTTGTTGCTAACTTTGTCTACTGGCTGTTTAGTGCTGGTCAGGCAGCAAACAGTGAGTTCATCAGATTAGTTTTGTAGTAGGTTTCATACACCACTGGAGAAAGTTAAAACATAAAAATAAGTGAGGCGAAGAGTTTTTCACATGACAATGTGTTTTATGCAGTTTGGAAAGTACTCTCTCATCCTTGTATAACACGTTCTTATTTGTCTGTGAATGCTCTGATATCAAAGAAACTGATATCTTCCCCTGCTCATAATCCAAATTACTTACCTTTCTTTGGTGGTGGCTGAACTTCTAGTGGTTTCTCTTTTGGTTTCTTTGGAACATCAAAGGCATTCTTCATTTGGGATACGTTCACACTTGGGCTCTGCTCTGTCACTCGGGCCTGAGCTGCAGCCCCTTCAGGTTTGACCCAGTCCTGATGTCTCTGTTTTTGGTTTGCTTCCTTGATGATTTTTGCCACAGGCTTGTAGGAACCCACCTCATTATCATCTCCCACAAACCTACCCTTAATGTGATCAGTCACTTCTCTGCGATTACCATAGTGAGCATAATTGTTGTCACTAACCTCTGTGCTGATTCTTTCAGACAGGAGCTCAGGGTAGCTTTCTCTTTTCCCTGAACAAGCAGGTTTTGGTCTTTGGATTTCTTTGTCTGATGTGACCTCGGGAATATGAGAAATCTCCTTGGAGGCAAAAGCATTTGAGGGCTTTTTCTTAACAGGAGGAGGTGGGTTTTTATATTTGTCTCGTCTCTCCAGGAAAACTCTTCTCTTTAACATATCCAGGTTTTGTGGCTCTTCATCTGGAGATAGTTGTGCCACACGTGTGCAATAGCCAAAGTCAACCATGTCTCCATAATGATCATCCATGTGTCTCAGTGAAAGATGCTCCCGTGGGTCAAGGTCAAGTGTCAAGTGTCGTATGTTGGTTGGGACACTGTAAGTGCCTCTTTCATCCCAGTGCAAACACATGTCCTGATTAGCTTGAGGATTATATGGAAGATCTTTGTTAAAATGAAAAGTGTGTCTCCTTTTAGCCCTTTCTTCAGAACACAGATGGTCTTTGCCTCTTCTTTGCCCATCAGTTGACATTAATTGTGCAGTTTTTAGCTTTATAAATGGATTTTTGGGTTTTTTGGGGACAGGTGGAGGTGGACCTTTAACTTTGGGCTTTTCTTTTGGCACAAACTCCACTTTAGACTCACATGGGTTGGGTGTTGCATTTGGCACCATCTGTGAATTGATCACATTTGTATTGAGTTGTGCTGCCATCACTGTGTCTTTGTCAGGCAACAGATGAGTTAAAGGTGGAGGGGTGATGACAGGAGAGAAGCAAACAGGTTCGCTCTCCCTTTTGTAGCTTGTAATCTGTGGCTTTTCATCACTGCCTTCATTTTCTGGCAGAGGAAGACACGGGATCAAATCGCATTGTTCTAATGAAAATGATGGAGCGTCATGCAGTTGTGGTATTTCAGAGCTAAGGAGCTTGGCCTCTTTCATGTCATATGAACAAAGAGGACCTGCTTTAGCTCTTCTAGAGACAGCATCAGCAAACCAGCTCTGGGACTGATCAGCTTGTGATTTATGTGCATTAAATCCTGAATTGTAGTTTTCCTCGTCTTGATTTTGTGATTCTCTTAAAGAATTCTCCAAGCATGGTTCCAGGTTTGACTTGACTGCTCTCTCCTGCTGTGAAGTCAACTGGACAGCTTTGTCATGGATGTTTTCCAAATCGCCAGTACTCTCTTTTAATCTTTTCACTGACCCACTGTTACTTTGTGCTGTCAGAGGCTCCTTATTGTTGTGAGTATACATTTGCCGCTTGCTGTGGTCATTCATGCTTTGCTCCCTCTCTGCTTCTCCTCTCCCAGTTGTCTCTGTGTGAGCAGCTCCAACATGACTGACTCCTTTTAGCTGACACCTGCCGCCTGTCACTTCAGCCAAATGTTGACCCATTTTCCTCTCAAAACAGGCTGTGGGTGAACTCTCAGCATGTGCTTCCACTCTGTCAGTCATGACTAAAAGTGTGTCAGATTTTTCTCTGCTTTTCTTGTCATTACCTTTTTCTTGGGCGGTATTCCTGGAAGGTTGTGGGAGGTTATTGTCACCATAGCTAGCAGAAGTGTCTTCGTCCTCTCTTCTTTTTATTGATGATATAGGATTCTCTGTTTTTATCTTACTGCCAAAAGTTTCTATATCAGATGACTTCCAAGTTTCATCCTTCTCAAGCAACACAAAGTCCTCCTCATTAGTGGGATTGCACTGGGTTGTTAGACTCCTTGTTTGAGTGCCAGGACCCAACTTGCTCCAGCTAGTTTCAGATTTCTTCCTGCTTCCCAGCTCATCCATAGCTGCAGTCCCAGTAAAGGCTTCAGCTGTACCCTCAGAGACCTGCTTTGGTCTTGTTGCCTTACGGTTCAGAACGGTTTTTGACTCCTCCAGAGTTCGAGAGACACCTCGGCCTTCCCTGTCGCCACCCACCCTCTCTCCCCTGGTGCCGAGGGGGTGCTCCTGCTGCCCTAGAGGTCTGATTGGCTGCCCAGTATGGGGGTCTGTACTTGCAGAAGTGACTGTGTGCTCCCCTGCATGCCCAGTGGTCGTGTCACTGACACTAATCCCACTAATCTCATCAATACAATGAGGGGTCATGAAACTGTCCTGATCCTCTTGATCTCTGCTCTTATCTCGTTCTCTTGGCTCTGACTGTTGCGTCTCTGCAGTTCTCTCAGACCAGTCTGAATTATCATTTGACTCTCCGTCTTTTTCCGACAACTTCTCCAACTTCTGGCCCATGGTGGTTGTTGTTCTGCCTTAGCATTAAGAAATGAGAGATTAATTTCAAGACACTGCAGCGGATTTATACACAAGTCATGGTGGCGTAATGAGGAGGCCTCGCCTTCCCATCCTGTTGAAATGAATCACACAACAGGCATCGCTATCTATCTTTAACTGTCTTGAATCTTCGTCTATTTTTGTATATTCTATACTGCTCACACTTGCCCTTCCAAGGCCTCTCTGTTTATCTCTCCCTATTCTGTTGGGAAGGAATGCTGTGGTGGCTATAATTAAAGTTAGCCTGGTTGCTGCCAGTGAGTCAGGAGGCCAAAAAGGAAACAAGACAAGTGCGATAAGTCAGCTGCGAAGTGCCAAGGTCAAATAAAATGCTCAGAGAATGTGATCTATTCAGTGCTGCCAAATACATGACAGATGCTCTTAAAAATATATCAGTACATCTTGAATTATGTCAGAGACTTGTTTTTCTGATTTGTGAGTTTTATTTGTTTTCTACAATCATGTCCCTTCAAGACAGACTGTGAGATGTCATGCACAGTCAGTCTCTGCTTTGACGTGAGGCCTGTTTGTGCTGTGTGAGCCTCCCTTCAAACTAGCTGAGTGTTTATGATTGTTTTGGTTACGGGGTCTATAAAAAGGTCACGTGGAATACATGATGCAAGGCACAAGTGCTTTGACATCTGAAGTGAATTGTTTGTCTGGAGCTGGATGAGAACAGGATTAATTGTTCACATGATGGATGGTGGAAGAGAGATTATTGCAAAGGGAAAAAAGCTCAACAGGATTTAAAGTGGCATGTGGAATATTGGCATGGAGTATTTTTAGGTTTAAAAAAAAAAAAGTGTACATGTTGAAAACTATTACACTACAATGTTTTGCAGAAACACACTTAAGTTTAGGTGCCATATTAACACTTTCCCTTCTAAATATTGTTGATTTTGTGAGCTGAAAAGTGAGTGAGGAAAGAAGCGTGAGTGAACCTAGTCACCCTGCAGCTGCAAGCATGACCTCTGCTGCCTAACCTATTTCAAGCCTGAAAAGCACGAGTGACACTTTATTTCTTACAAGCCTGTCTATTTAACGAACATACTTGTCCACAGCATGTAAATGAAATGAGTCCCCTTGAATTTTATTGGCTCCTGTTTATCTTTAATTTATGGCTCTTGTTCTTTACGCCAGTGATTCCCAACTTGGAGTACTTGTAAATAGAAAGACTGTAGAGTAGCTCAATTAGTATTAGAAATATATATTTCCACATTTTGAGCAAGCTGTAACAGTTAAACACCATGTGTCAAGAGTCATATAAAGTAGTTATCAAACTAAGGAACAAACAATTCAAATAGTTAAAATTAATTGATAAATGGTAAAAATAGCTAAAAGCAATGAATAAATTGTTAGAACAGATAACTAATAGTAATGGGTAAACCGGTCAAGTACAGTGCCTTGCGAAAGTATTCGGCCCCCTTGAACTTTGCGACCTTTTGCCACATTTCAGGCTTCAAACATAAAGATATAAAACTGTAATTTTTTGTGAAGAATCAACAACAAGTGGGACACAATCATGAAGTGGAACGAAATTTATTGGATATTTCAAACTTTTTTAACAAATAAAAAAACTGAAAAATTGGGCGTGCAAAATTATTCAGCCCCTTTACTTTCAGTGCAGCAAACTCTCTCCAGAAGTTCAGTGAGGATCTCTGAATGATCCAATGTTGACCTAAATGACAAAGGATGATAAATAGAATCCACCTGTGTGGAATCAAGTCTCCATATAAATGCACCTGCACTGTGATAGTCTCAGAGGT